TCTGCAATAAAAATTTTCTCGACAAATTTCTCGGGTCAAAAATCGATAAATGACCATGTAGGAGTTGACCTAGATCGATTTTTTATATTTTTTTAAATAAAATCGCGATTTTTTTAAAAATAGCCACATAATTCATCTTTAAGATGAGCCTAGAAAGAAGTGTATATCTTTATTTTTCTGGAAGATATGAATTTTTAAACATTGGGGAAAAGAGGCTTCAACGCAGGTAACACGGCAATTTTGAGATAGGATATTATTAATTTGTCCCTGCGCTTTAAGTTACTTTTTCATTTTTTTTATTTACATTAAATACGAACGTTAGTGTGTATCTAATACGAATTGATTTTTGTTTTTGTAGCTCATCTGTCGGTACCAGAGCAATCGAGACGATCGAGTTTGAGCGAAGCCTCGGGTATAAGCGGAACATCCACAAGAACATATGTCAACGAAGCTTCCACGCTCGTTCTCGAAACTTTGGAGAACGGTATAAAAAAGTAAGTAATCTTTCTTTTTTCTTCTCTCTCTCTCTCTCTCTCTCTTATTATTTTTAGAAAAAGGCATAGCATATCTTCTTCACATCCTTTTATACATTTTTTATAATTTCAGACACTACCTCGTACCACTTTCCCTCGCACAGAAAAGTAAATGGAGAAAAAAAGGGACAAAACTACACATATTTAATGATCATACATTTATCGCCAAACACATGGCAGGGTAAGTTGTATTATCTTGCCGCAATATAATAATGTTAACAGTTACGATTGTCGACAGTTACGAGTGTCGCGCAAATGTTAATTTATCATTGAATCGACCAACATTTAATAAATAAAATTTACAATAGCGGATTAATTTTAATATTTTTTTCACAGAATAATAATATCGATAAAATGATATAAGAATTATAATTGTCCGATTCATTTTGTTTTTAGAGGAACAGTTTGCGAAGTATGTAAAAGAACTCTCGCACGAAGGCTCGGTAAGCAGGGCTATGAATGCAGAGACTGTCAGATGAAGTGTCATAAACACTGTCATGTGAAAGCCGACATCACATGTCCCACATCCACTATCCAGAGCATCGAGTTGTGAGTATCCTTAACAATATCATTTTTAATATTAAGCTAAATGTTCCCTGTAATAAATTTTAATGAAAACTACAGAATAGAACTCGATAAAGAATTTTTATACGTTGTTACAATTATGTTTATATTTATTTTAATAATTAATTAACGAAACATGCCCTAATACAACTTTTCTCGCGTAAGGTCCTTACTGCCAGTACTGAGCGAATAGGATAGGTAAGAATTTCAGAGTTTAGAAATGAGTGAATTTGCTAATATCGCGCATGAGGAAGTACCTGACCCCAATAGATTATTGACCGATACATCTGATGTGTTCGCGATAATCTGCTTGTAAAAATGTGCATTAATTTTGCTTGCTTCTATTCTTTAGCCGGGTTTTCGTGATTACATATTACTAAGATTAATTGAAAAGTATTTTTTTTTAAGACTTTATTATTCTCGATGAAGCACGACTGAATGCATATTATATATTATATACATACGCGCGTGCGCGCGTGCGCGTGTGTATGTATGTATGTATGTATGTAATTATTATCTCTATCTTCCTAATTTGACCCAGAATTTAGAGGACAATATATTTTATACCTTATATTAATATTTATAACTTTTAGGATGTGCATCAAGGTTCCGCCACTCGAACGAAAGCCTTCTATACTTCTGTGTTCGCGATAACGTTGTCGCATTATACGATACGTTACATTTCGGACATGCGACTTATTTTTTAATACAAGACAACACAACGATGATGTAATCCAAAAGTTTCTGAAAGTTTTATGCCTTTCACATTTTAGTTCTTCCATTTTCGAGATGAAAAGCGATAATTTAAGCTATGTATTTGTCAATATTTGACAAACACATACAGTTATTTTACGAAAAGAGTATGCAGTACGTTTCTATTCACGCTAATGAAAGTAGATCTTAAAAATTTGTTAAATTTAATTTAAGATACAAATTACGTGTCCTACAAATTACGAATTATTGTTTTGTAAAAAGCAAGTGAACGTTATACATACAAACGTTAAGATAAAAATTTATTCTGCAAAGTTAAAATCCCTTTATCTTTGCAATACGATGGTCAAATTTTGCACAATTAAGAATTAATTATCATTTTTACTGCGCTTTAATCTTAATATTTTATAATATTGATCGTCACTTCTTCAGCGTGATAGAAAAATTAAGAATTTCGACTCTGAAGTGAGAGTTTGAAAAATATGTATTATCGTATAATATGCAAAACTTACAAGAAACATCTTTGTCGTATCTTTACAACAATTTTCAAGCTTTCTTGTTCTCCCAATAATGATGTAGTGATGTAAGCTTGTGCTTCGTCATTGACCATCGACCAGCATCTAATTTCTTCCGGAAAAAGATCGTCGAGTTAAATTCAGTTATGTTATCTTTTTAACCAAAAATGCGATACAATACACAACTACAATAAGATATATACTGTAAAAGAGTATGTGCAATTACATGAGCAACAAATGTAAAAATCTTACGATTTATTATATTATGGAATTGTGTATACATTTATGTACATGAAAGCGTATTTTGCAAAGAATGAACGAATTGAAACTCTACTGTTTGCAAGATGCGCGCCACGTATGTGGCGTACGTGCGGTGCATGGTGTGTATATTTCGCCGATAACTGCATAAAATAATTAATAAAATAACAATATTAAAAAATGATACTAATAAACAATAATAATCCTTATGATAGTAATAATCATGAGAGTATAATGTTAGTTGTAACAACGATGCTGATAAACAATGATAAAAATGCATCAAGTTATTTGATCAAACTTTACTAAATTCATTTAATTTTCTTTTATATTTAGCACAAATACTTTTACACCGTGTACCTGCATGTATAGTTTTGCCTTAATGCAAAAACGCGCGTGTTATTATGCAATTTATCGTAACGTTATCGAAAAATGGCGAGGCTGTTTTATTTTGATTACTGCGTTCACGATAAAAAGCAAAAGTCGATCATTTTAATGAAAATTCTAATTGAATGTACGCGACGTAGATAAGTGCGAATTAATACATATATTGCAAATTCAAATACTTAATCAATACATAAGTGAGCGTCTATAATACAATTCAATCGGCACGTGGTAGTGGAAATTTTCCAACAAGGGGAATATCTGAATCAGTTTACACACATTATGTTTCTTTATAAAATATTTCTCATATAGAAAGATCAGACTAATCAAATTTTTTAAAAAATATGTTGTGATTGTGTGAAAATACACTTGATTAACCCTTTCTTTATAGTTCGCCCTGAATAGGCTCCTTTCGTATGGCTCCTCTGCGGGAGTGCCCACTTTAATTGTAGACATTTCAAAAATTCTAATAGTTTGAAAAAAATTTTGTTATATCTTTGTCGATCATCGAAATATTAAATAAAGATAGAATATGTTTCACTGTCAGTAATTTCGGAACACGGCCGCAATTGGTGCAAAGTGCCGAGCACTGACTATAAAGTCGACACTAGTATCGACAGTAGTATTCGTTACTTGGATGCCGATTATATAGTCGGCGCTACACGTATACACAGGTCATCGCATGGGTGCTGATTAAAATCGACGTTAGGAATGAAAGGGTTAATAACACATGATAATTTGAAATTTGTTATAGACCCAAATAACATCGAAATTCTTTTTATTTTATGCATTTTATCGATACAATTACGAAATATTATCTTGGATAATTAGATGTAAAAAAATTACACACACACACACGTTTAAATTTATACATCTCGCTATAACAGACATCGTCGGAGTACAAAATACAATCAAAAAATACAAACAGAAATCACCGTCAAATTTAGACATGTTAACAATTTAGCGATACAGTAAAACGATGCAGCGATGTGTATTTACATATGTTGAGAAATAATCTTAGAAAGTAATACTAATTTTTGGCAAAAAGTTTAATGATAAAAGCAAGCATATATGAATTTTTTCCTTATTATATTTTTGTACTTACATTCTAAAGAATGTGCACGCTGCAGCATCGTAATTTTATTGCTAATCTCGTATAATCACAATTAAGCTGCTAGCAAATCCAATTGACAAGTTAGGTAGTCAGCAAATATATAGTGAACGAATGGTGCTAAGTAATAAGCGACAATTATACAAATGGGCGCGACGATCGTTAATAATCTAATATGCATATGCATACATTGAAGTAATACGTACGATATAAACCGATTCGAATTTAAATTCAATTTTTCCTGTACACATACAGGCTGTGAAATATATCTGTAAAATTATTATTACTTACAATTAGCAGATTTATGATGACAGGGCATGTTTCACGTGTGGACTGTATCCATGGCGAATCTAACTTGAGTTGAGTTTTAAAAAGAGGAAAAGTATACAGGGCTACAATTCTCAGTACTTATATAGCAATACACATTAAAATTTCTTATTCGGAGAATTAAACCCAGGCAGAAATGATCTATAGACGTCGATTCGATATCTGTAGACATTGATGTTTATAGACGTCGAATGAACCGTCTATGGACCAATCATTTCTCCCTGGGAATATTGAGAATATATCTAAACAATATAAAATATACGATTTTTTAAATGTTATTTTAATTTGATAACTAAATATTATAACACGAGAAAAAAAAGAGACAGAGATGAAATTGATATATATATATATATATATATATATATTTTTATATATGACATACCTGCAATATTCGTTATCACATATAAACGTGAGAAATTTCAATTATTTTACTGCGGCCATGTTTCGATATACATATATACACTACCAGTACTGAAAGTCTATACTATACATTATGTGAACTATATATAGATTTTCGGTACTGGCAGTGTATGTCAAAACACGCGGGTCTCTATCAAGAATACAGTAAAATTAGGAAGAAATATTATACATATATATTTCCAGCATTCTCACGTGTAAAAGTTTCTCAGAGTCTCTCTCAGAGAGAGTCCATTGAGACTCATCTTTTTCTGCCTATGGATTTGTTAACAATATATTAGAGAGTCAGTCATTAGAAATTTATAATCATCGCGGTTACAATCAATTCATAATTATAATCATTAGACCGTTTAAACTTGATAAAATGACACCAATTGTCAGTTTATCGTTGGCGAATAACCGTAAATATTTAAATGTTTATATATATCGCACAATTGCGTGTGCGTGATTGAAAGTACAATGACATGATTTTTGCAAAGCAATTTATCGTTAAGATAATTATATACGATAGGTAAACTTCTTTCTCATTCGCGCGCTCTGCAATACGCACATCTCTTTTCGTATTCTTTTCCATTTGTTTACTGAAGACCATGAATCGCGCGTTGTCGTAATTATCGAAGTATAACTATCGAAATAACTATGAAACGTTGACGCTAAAAGCTATATATAAGCGACAACGATTGTGCCTATAATGATATTGTTGTATAATAATAATGTTATACACACTCTTTTCATACGCAATAGAAAATATATTTATGGACGATATTTCCAATTGTTCCGCAAAGGCTTTTGACTCTCAATCTAACATCGTATCTTTTTGTCAATATGTATAAAACCGGATTTAAATCGAAGAAGCGAGCATGGATAAACATAAATGACCGATTTCAATGAAGGCAAGAGATCACTATTGCGGCGTCGCGCATCGCTTACCGTCAAAATAAGTTGCTCATTTGTGTTTGTCGCGCTCGCACACTTGCTCCGGTTTAACATGAGATTAAAGAGATTATGATGATTATTATGCATTGCCGATTTATAATATATATATAATAATACGATTATAATTATATCTATATATAATGTTACTATTAATAAATTACAATGGATGATGATATGGTGACAATTGTATAATATTTAATGTTACAGAAAGTAATATATTATACGTGATTCTATAACGTTACATCTTTCTATTCAATCTTTCCGTTTGTCTTTCCCGTTAATTCACTCCTCAACTCCTTTAAAATTCATTGTCAAAATTTAAGCAGGATTAAAATAATCATCTTTCAACAATCGGCCCTGGAAATGCTAGAATAAAATTAATATCACATGCTTCATATTCTATTGCTTTGAAACGTAATTACGTGATTTTACAAATAACAATCTTCTAAAGATTTGACACAGGGGCGTTTATACTTACTTTATCGATTACTCACTTAAAATGAATGGTTATTGCCAATACAAATATCAAAATCTGCAATGATTATAATGCAATAAGACATGATTAACTAAATACAACGCGATTACAAGAATTTACTACATTTTACATAATTTGAACATAATAATCTGAGACAACGATATATAAAATTATACTTGGTTAACAGAAAATTACGCGCGAGTTAATGAGACAAAACAGACTCAGGAAAACACGAGAAAATAAAGTAAAACACGAGGCAAGATGGTAATGCTATTCGATGCGAGGTCGAGTGACAAGAGCGAAAAGAGAATCAGCACTCGTTGAACGGGATAAAATTAGAAGCTGCGACGCGAAAGAGGCTAACAATAAAGAGGAAGAGATTCGAATGAAAGAAAGAAGCTGCAGCCAATTGAAATAATTGGTGGCAGTGTAGGAGAAAGCAGCCCTGAATTTGACAGAGTGATGCAGAGGAAAGGATAAATAATTATGATAACGGACGTGTCAGAGGTATTGCAAGAATGGAATTCGGAATTAAGGTGAAGAAAGTTGCGCAGATATATCGAATTGTTTGATTAGAGGAGACGGTATATAATACAACATAAATGGAAAAAGCGCTGGTGGATTTTTAACCATCTAGAGCTTTGATAGGAGAAATATAATCGAATTGACGGATATTATAGAAAAAACAAAGACGGGAATTCTCAATATGTTGAATACGATTGAGTAACTGCTGATTCAAGGTCGGAATGTAAACTGCGGCAGCATAGTCAAATAATGAGATTGTGAGAAACTGGGAAACAAAAAGTTTTTGCGAGATTGAAAGGATATGACGATAAGAATATAAAAGACGAAGGAAAGTTGCTTAACATTTAATATGATTCATGCACCGAAAGATCAAGAGGAGTCGAAGTAGACGCCAAATATTTTAATGCAGGATGAGTGAGGAATTATAAGATAGAAGTTGAGATAGATGTTAAAAGAAGGAAGGCGCGAGACAATAAGAGGAGGCAGTGAGCAAGGAAAATGTGGAAGGCGTTTGACAAGCTCAGCGATGGTTTGCGCGAAGGTCGCGATTTATTGTTTCAGCTGCCAAAGTGACATTGCGCGGATAGGTAAGTAGAAGAGATTGAGAAGAATGATAACAGTGTCATCGGCATACATGAAGAATTTGGATATAACAGAAAATCGACGGTAAAGATGATGAACAATAGAGAGCTAAGAACGGATGTGCCTTGGGGCACATCGGATAGGATATTACAGGGGAGGGGAGGGAGAAGGTGGGAAGAGAAGTATAAAGGAAAACTCGCTGGGTTTGTAAGGAATGAGTGCAGAATTAGAGAAAGAGCAGACTAGGAGGGTAAATAACTAAGTTATTTACTTGGCAAGAAAGTAACTCATGATTGACCGTATCAAATGCTTTTGAAAAGTCGAGGATTCACCAACGATGTCAAACATTGCAACCAGAGTCAACGCTGCGCAGTACGAGATCAGATAAATGCGGCAGCTCAGTCATAGTGCATTATTATTATGTGCA